TGGCCAGCCTCTTCCTGACAGGCATCCAGGAGATTGAATTCAATGTTTGTCTGGCTCAGATGTTCCTTATCCATGCTCTGTCAGCCATGGAGTCAGCTGTTCTGCTGGCTATGGCTTTTGATCGCTTTGTAGCCATCTGCCACCCACTGCGCCATGCTTCTGTGCTCACAGGGCCTACTGTCACCAAGATTGGACTAGCTGCCCTGACCAGGGGATTTACTTTCTTCTTCCCACTGCCCTTCATCCTGAAGCGGTTGTCATACTGCCAAACACACACTGTCACACACTCCTTCTGTTTGCACCAAGATATTATGAAGCTGTCCTGTACTGACACCACAGTCAATGTAGTGTATGGACTCTTCATCATCCTCTCAGTCATGGGTGTGGATTCCCTCTTCATTGGCTTCTCCTACATCCTCATCCTGAGGGCTGTGTTGGAGCTGTCTTCTCGGGGGGCAGCACTCAAGGCTTTCAACACCTGCATCTCCCATCTCTGTGCCGTGTTGGTCTTCTATGTGCCCCTCATTGGGCTCTCAGTGGTGCATAGACTGGGTGGCCCTACCTCCCTGCTCCATGTGATGATGGCTAATATCTACCTTCTACTACCACCTGTGGTCAACCCCATTGTCTATGGAGCCAAGACCAAGGAGATCCGTTCACGGGTCCTGCACATGTTCTCACAGGGTGGCAGGTGAGCAGGCTAATCTTCCCAGTATCTTCAATTCCTACCAAATATGGGAGGACAAGGATCCTGTTCACCGTCGTGGTGATTGGATCATCCATCCCATTGGGTTGTCATTTAGTTATCTAAATGGATCTTGAATTCTGTTTCTAGGAATGTGTCAATATATAAGAACTCATGACTCAGTCTGAACCAGCCATCCTGGAGAATGGTTACCCTAGTGTCTCTGCTCTGGTGGCCTTGCCTTATTTCCCTCCTCCAACTAGAAAACATAGTTTTTACACAATAAGGCTATAAATGCCATAGCTCAGGATAATTCCAGTTTTGATATATAATTTAAATTATTATTGTTCCCATGAACTCATGTCATTAAAATTGTTTTGGTCATAAAGCTTCTTTTTTGAGTCCCAAGTGGTTATGCAGGTTTTTTTTTTTTTGGGGGGGGGGGGGGGAAGGGAAGGTGATAGTAATTGAAGAGAAGGGAGGGAGATGGTACAGGAGATGAGGTAGCTCACATAAAGTGTTTACATTTCTGTATGCATGGATTGTATTTATGTGGAAACTGCCAATGCTCATCAATGTGGCCCTACTGGAGATTGCTTTTCCATAAGAGTACTCTGTATTCTGAGTGTGATAATGAGTGTGTAGGTATATTTATGTTGGGTGTGTGTGGTATACGTGAGTGTGTCTGAATACATAAGAAATGGGCCAGTTGTGCAGTTGGTGAGTGTAATAGCTATGACTTGGCATATATAATTCATGAATAACAGATCTGATTGCACATTTATTGTGTTTATATGGTCTCTGTTAGTTGTTATGTGATATGCACCTATTTGAGAATGTTGAACAATATCTTTATGAGTATCAGATGAACATTTTGCCTCTATCTTTTTTTCATATTTGTAGTATGGAAAATGTAGAGTGTAATATGTAGAATGTAAAATATTATATATTTGTAACAATGTAGAATATGTAATATGCATGAGAGTATGGAATGTATGGTATTAGGATGGCATTTTGATGTTTATCTTTGGGCATATGCCTGTTGTGCATAGTATTTGTGATATGAAATCATTTTGTGTGATACATGTATCTTTAGTCACATGTAGGTAGAATGTAATGTCTGAAAGATACGTGTATGTGTGTGTGTGTGTGTGTGTATGCAGTGTTTGTGAATACTGTATTTTAAGGCATATGTCTGGTGCATATATTTTAGGATACATTTCTTTTATTTTTTATTTTTTGAACTCTTATCATGCTTCTAATAAAAATGAATCTGTTATTTCTGAAATGCTTGCATCTTCCTCTCCTTCTACATATTCTCTTCTTCTACACTGAGATCCAAAAGGAAATTGAAAAATTCTAGCCATGCTGTTGATGCAGGTGATACTTACAGGTCATGGGTCTTGCCATTTTTCTCTTAGTGAATAGGTACTTCTTTATTGATTCCCACTTGATGTTCTCACTAATCTCATTCTCTCTCTTCCTATCCTTCATCAAACCCTGTTCTCATAGCTCCTTTCGATGCCACTTGCAGTGAAGCCTGATAAAACTATAAATGTTGGACTGATAAAAAATAAATGCATTTCTTTTTTAAAAAAATCTTTATTGTTGAAAGTATTATACATGCACCTTTCCCCCACCCCATCAACCCTCTCCATCACACCTCTGCCCCCCTCCCCAGGTCCTCACCGCCCACTGTCCGCAGGACACATTTCCTTTGTATGGTAGGTGAGGATTATATGGCACAAGAATGAGTATACTAACTGTGTTTCTGGGAAGTGATTATTGAATGATGTCTCTATGTATTGGGGATGGCAATAGGAAGTTAAGGTCCTGATTATGGAAGTAATTTCCAAATCTGAGAGCAATATCAAAGGCCCAGTTTCTTGGCCTGGGCTCAACATGGGTATGGCTCAGCCTCTGGAAGTGATAGGAGAGGAGAGTGCTACCTCTTTACATCTTCTCAAAGGCCAGACCACACCTTCTTTTTCCTGACCACATGATTTGAGGTGCTTCTGTTACCACTTTCCATCTTTCCTCCCACACTTCCTGCTCTTCCTGAGGCATTGAACTCTCTAAATCCCTGGCCTCCTACCTCAATATCAGGTCCCATTATCTTCTCCTTTTCCTTCCCTTTCTTGCTGATCTACCAAACATGTTTAAATGTCATTGGTTCTAGGGAGGTTCTCTAAACCTCACTGGGGAAACAGTGAACAAGAATGGGTGGGGGGCACTGATATGAGACCTTGTGCAGGCTCTGGCATCTCCTAGAGATAAGAAATGTTCACATTGATGAAAAAGTAAAAAATTAAAAAATATTCCCCATGAAGAAAACAAGTAGGTTCATTTGAAGTAGAGGAAAAAATACTAAAATAGTACTTATGAGGTTAAAATCCTGAAAATATCATAAAGTGGTATACCATATAACCACTTGGATCTCATTTCCTCTTCTATGTAATGAGATACTATAATAACAATGATGTTATAAAGCTCAAATACTATAAATGTCCTTTATAAGTTGCCAAGTATTGTAAATGTGCAATAAACTATTATATTCATGTTTGTTTTATTGCTTTAGGAAACATCCACCTTCTGGTCTTTGTGAATGGTGCCTCAGAAATGTGCATCACCAGTTTGGCCTGACTTATTGTTTTAATAAATAAATTAAAACAACTTTTTATTTATTTATTCATAAATTGTTTTCATGAAGCTTCAGAGAAGTTGAAATTCATTTCCCTGTGAAATCAAATTTACCAGTGAAATTCAATGAAAGCACAACCTTGCCAAGAAATTCTTTTAAATGTGGTTGATATCTATATCAAGAAAAGAGATATTGTGGGCTTACAATGAGGTGCCATCTAGGTTAGGATCACTAGCTTTGATATTTAGGCATGTTACTTAGCTTACTGAACCTCAGTAATTTTGGGGACAGTAAGCACTGTAAAACAGAAACATACTGTAGCTCCTGTGGGTGGTTGGTTGTGTGATTAAATAGAATAATAGATGTGAAAACTCAAAGACAATAAAAAGTGATCAATAAATGTTGGTGCCAATTCAGTCATTCCTCACATTAAGTAGGTCTTGTGACTGTAAGTGAAACGCTTGAAACGAAAACAATTTGACCACAGGCTAATTGATACAAGCAAGACTTAAGTTCCTGCAGCGTCTCATCAATGTTATATCAAAATGACGTTGAACAAAATGACGTTATTAGAGGACCTGCCGTAGTTTTAAATAATAAAACAAATAAAATAAGATATGCTTATTTTATTTTGACAACCAATAGGTTTTTATATTAGGAAAATATTTAAAAGTATAGTCATCTTCACCCTTCATAACCACATTCTGTGCCACGGCCAGAGCCAGTCCCTGATCCATATTGCAATGTCCCTGGTTTTAGATGAACTCATGGCCTTCTTTTTTTTTTTTTATGAGTTAAGTAGAAATTTTATTTCCAAGCTCTTCAAAAATTATTACAAACACAAATAAAATATCCATTTTAAAGTGTCTCAAATTAAATCAAAGGCACATAATCAAGGAAAAACACGACATTAAGAATCCATTTAGCTTGTAAGATTTTCACATTGCTTTGCTTTTAATCACTTGCAATATTCTGTAAGTCACATTTTAAACATATTTGAAAGCTATGAAATAATTCAGTATTTTTTTAAGTATAACCACAACTATGAAGTAGAGTAACTTAAGAAGACAAAGATCAGATCTCTGACATACACAAAATGGGGAGATCTAATACACAACACACTAATTTTTCCAAACAAGATTGCTAACAGCTTCCATATTTAGTGTTAAAAATAAAAGTCTTCTTACAAAAATCAAGACATCACTTGATTAATAAAGTTTGTTTTTCCCCCCAATTTTACACTTTCCTGCCTTCATTTAAAATTACAAATTCATGAGAAAAGGACATATTTTGTTATGGTGTAAAAATCTTAACAACAAATTACAAATATTCAACTTTTTAATAAAAATGTTTTCCTTCCCAAAATGTAAACATCCAGTAAATAAAACATAAATAAAACATACTAATAATTCACTTTTGAAAGAGGTGCATTTTTGTATATTTGGTGGTAGGGTTTTTGTTTTTCTTAAGGATAAAGCACTTCACCAAACAAACCAGGCCATTATTATCTAAAAGTCTTCTCCTTCACCCAGTTTCCTAATTTGAGTTGAAACCCATCATTTTCTGTAGAATTTTGGCTTTAGGAAGGTCTGAATAGGTAAGTCATTTGGTTAGAGAACAATGTTTTCATGAGACTTGGAGGCAGTCATTCATCACTCATGCCTGAAGGTTTCCTTAGCAAACTTCTTTCCAGTCTTCAGAGTAAAGCACAGGATCTGGGCTCCCGGAAGGGGTTGCTACCCGCTGGAACTCCGACCAGCAGGGCATCCTTGCAGGCATTCTGCGTGCAGTACTGCTGAAGCTCAGCAGCCGCCTGAGAGACCTTGATCCTCTCCACGCCGGCCTGAGCTGCTCCACCAGGCGCTGCAGGGCGTACACGCTGGCCCCGGAGGACATGGCGGCGGCGGCGGAGCGGAGGGCTGGGACCAAGGGCGGACTCATGGCCTTCTTTTTTAGGAGATCTGGGGACATCTCTGCGTCCCCTAGAATCTCTATATCTAAATAACTGGTGGCAAGTGCAGTGACTGTTGCTTGAAAACCTGGCTGATAGCTCAATAGCTGTAAGACTTCCTCTAGGCTCCTATAGGCTCTGTGCTTCCCTCTATCATACAGTTAGGGCTTTACATTCAACTGGATGTTTACCGCTCTGTCACAGAGCTTAAATAGTTAGTGACCGTGTGTTCATCCTCTGTTATAGAACTTAAATATCCGTATGATAGTTGTTATGTCTCCCTTGAGGACAAGGGCTAGGTTTTCTTGTCTGCAGCACCGGGCATATAAGGTGCTCAATGGCTGTGGGATTGGGGCCTTTCCAAGAGAAGGAAAGGCTGAGCAGTTTTTTCACTTTACATAAATAAATTTACTCTTATTCCACCACCTACTCTCATCTCTTCTTCCTTTCTCAATAAATTATAGTCCTTAAATTTTGTAAAGTCCACGAAGTACTTTCTGCAGCTATTAATGATCAATTATGATCCAAACATAACATTATATTGTAGGCAGAGTTTGGTTAAACATTCTCACTTCTGAGGCAAGATCCTTCTGTATTCTCCACTCATTATGTCATGAATCTTCAAGTTTTCTTGTCTGGCTGAAGTCACTATGGTTGACCCTAAGTGAGCACTGGATATGCAAAATCTAAGCTTTTCTGGTGGAACTTTCCCCGGTTTGCTCCCATGCATGTGCTGATCAGTGTTCAGCTGAATTTTTGAGGACCCTCTACATATCCCTAGAGTTCTCTCTGTGTGTAGAACTCTCATCTCTAATCCTCTCCATTCAAATTCTAGCTAGCTTGCTCTTCCTGAACTCTCAGCTCCATATCCTCATATGAAGGTGTCCTCTGTCTGGGGCCTCCACCCCTGTGCCACAGCATGAAAACTCTCTAAGGCTGTGAACTGAGGAACCACAGGTCCACCTCATATGTTTCCCATGTTTCAGGGCTCATTGTCATTTGTTGCCTGTTATCCAGTATCTCCCAAACCATTGTTTTATATATATTGGTCACTTTAGGTCTCTCTGGGTAAATGTTACTTTCTGTTACTCCACCTTGGCCAGCAATGGAAGTTTCGGGGGTATTTTTAAAGTCTTCACACAGTGTAAGTCTAAATGGGAAGTGGTGGGAGGTGGCTCAAGGGAGATGACAAGAGTCAGGCTGCAGGTGTGAAGTTACCTCGAGCCCTTGTAACCTCAAGTTTTGATGTGGTCTGAGTTGAAATGACCTGATTGGACATTGTCTGTTTGTGCACAGCTTAAAGTCAGCATACCCTGTGTTGTGAATTTAAAACTTATAATTGCAAAATTAGTCAGTAAAAAGTAAGAAGAAATCAACTAGAATTCACTTTGCTTTATTTATAGACATTTAAAAAAATTTATTTAAATATGTAAGGTATTTACTTTCACATTCAAATTGTTTTCCAACTCCCTAAAATGTTCTTTCGCTATTTTTGTCCTTAAGAGAGAAAGCAGATGTCCTTGGTCTTATATGGCTGGTGTTGGTGTTAGGGAAGGATTAAAGAAATCACATTCTCCTTCCTCAGCCAAACATTCAGAAAGCCAGGACTAAAGAAGAAGACAGAGGCATGGTCCCTGGGGACCACTGGTATGAATTAGCTAGATACAGGACCCAAAGGCTGGAGACAAAGAAGATGAGCTTTGGGGGAAGGCAGATGGGTCCATTAAGCTTGTTAAGGACCCAACCAGGTGCCACCAATGGAAAGAAGGTGGACAGAGACAGCTTCAGGAAGGTAATGAGCTGACACTTAGTCATGGGGTCTTCCTAAAAGCGTATGTAGCCTTTCCTCTGGCTGAATTTGATGAACCTTGGAAGAATCTTGGAGAAAAGCCACTCACATAGACCATGGACACACAAATGAGTGCTGTTGTTGTTTTTTTTTTTTGTTTGTTTGTTTTGTTTTTTGCCTTCCCTTGCTCATTTCCCCTGTCTCACTTCACATTTGGAACTGGCGCAGGGCCCATCTGAGGAGGACTCTAGGGATCTCAGCTCTTTCTGCTCCTCCTTCCCCATCCCCCAGGCATACCTCCCTGGACACAGAAGCCAAGAAGGACATAGGACCACAATTGGCAACTGAAGGGTACCTGCTGATAGACCCTCTGGGCAGCACTCCTCCCCGCTGCAGGGAGAAGCAGAAGGAGGAGGAGATAAGACAGGGAATAAATAAATAACCCTGATCAGGGAAGTCCAAAGGAGGGGGCAGAGACAGAGACGGCTGCACTGCAGTGTAGCTGCCAGACCTCTTCTGGAAAAGTACTGGAGAAAAGGGGACATGTTCCTGCAGTGCAGCTGAGGTGAGTGCAGGGAAGCAGGGGTATATCCAGGTATGAGGGCTGCTTGCAGATAGGGTCTCCCAGTAAACCTGCTGAGTGAATGAGAAATCAGACTGAAGAACCAGAAGCATAGGTGTGGGGCTGGGGATATGAAGATGGCCCCTGACTCACTTGACAGACAGCCTCAGCAATTTCTATGTTTGTGTGGTAAAGGGAAGCACGAATGGTAATTTTCAAGCAATTTCCCAGTGATCAGTGTACTGGGTGCCCAGCCAGAGCCAGGCATGAGATGGCCTAAATGAAGATGAAGAGGGACAGAGAACAGATGGGGTAGAAGTAGACTGTGGTTTGGTGTGTGAACAGGGCTAGTTCCGGGTTGATAGTGTGGTTTAAGCTCAGTTTGTCATTAGGGGGTCACACTATAGCTCTGTTGGAGTGTGAGCTCTGAATGGGGTTCAGGCTAATTGGATGCTCTGCATCAGGAGTCAGGCTGAGGCTGAGATTGAGATGTAGCAATCTTCCTGAGGCTCTGTGCCTAGAATCAGGGTTTAGTCTTCAGCCCATTTAGAAAGTGAATTCGTGTCTACATAGCAGTGTCCCCTGGCTTGTATTCAATCACTTCCAGCTTCCTAAACAGGTATGTTCTCTTTCTCTCTGGTTCTTTGCATTTGTGAGAGGGCACTTTTAAAAACAAATTGGATCAGGTCTATGCTTAATTTCCTCCAAGACACTCAGAATGAAATCAAAACTCCTTGCCTGTAGGCCACTACATGATCTGGTTCCTTCCCTCACTCTGCCCTCATCAAAAACTCTCCTGTGATCTTGATGCTCCAGCCACAATGACCTTCTTTCTGTTTTGTGAAACTTCAAACTCATTCTTGCCTCAAAACCTTTTTCTCTGTTATCTCCTCTGTCTGTAACAATCCGCCCTTAGATCTTGGAATGGCTGGCATATTTCATCACACAGCTCTCAGTTTATGTGCCACCTCCACTGATTTCCATCTCAAATATGGGTACCTTGTCCCTGCCTTTTGCCTCCTATTGCTCTGTCTTGTCTTCAGTGCTCTTATTTTTGTCTGAAGTTTTCTCATTTATTCATTTGTTATTTTTTTTTTGTTGTTATTAGTGCACAAGCTCCCTGAGAACAGTGATCTTTTCTGTGGTACCCATAATTTTCTCTCCAGTTTGGGGCAAATAATAGGCACTCTACATGTTCTTGTTGTCTAACTGAACATTGCTGTCTCCATGCCCCCGAGCTTACCCTATTAACTGCTACTAGCGCCTCCTCCCCCCAAGTCTTGGCTCACATGTCACCTCCTTAAGGAAGCCCCCTGAGCATGACAACTTGGTGAGCTATTGTCTATTTGTTTCTGAGTCCCTTGTAGTTTCCCTGGTCCTGGCATTTATCACAACATGCTGTGATGGCCACATCATTGTCTCCGTTTCTCCCCACTGTGGGAGGGATGAACTATGACTTACTTACTCTGTATCTTAATATCTCCAGCCTCTCCACTGTAGGCAGCCAATCAATAATTGTTGAAGAAATCAGTGTTTCAATCAAAGTCCCAGATCTGGCTCTCCACTGCACCATACTTCCCTGTGTGCAGGCAGGAGCCAGAAAAGCTGTGATGGGCACTGACAACTAGGTCAAGCTTTCCAGCTCTCTGGGACTCTGATTGGCTCTGGTCCTCCTTAGGAAGGAGAGGGGCAGGGTCCAGAACCCCGGGGCTCTGCATAGGAGTGATTTTGGAGGGCCAGGATGACTTGTGCTGAGTAGAGTGGGGCTGGGAGTCTCACTTTCTATTGAGTTAGAAATTGCACTCTCTTATAATATCTTTTAATTCTCATCTTGGCCAGTCTAAAAAGAATGGACAAGACCCTTACAAGGGTTCATCTGCTTTATATGATAATTTGGAGTGGATGTGATTCTGGGGCTGCCACCCTGATGGAATACTAGAAAAAGGGCTTTTCCTCAAATTGGGTGAAGAACTCAAACCTCCTTGCTGATCACAGCATTGCCCCTGAGGCTGGCCTTCCCTCTCTGGGCCTGGGAGCAGAAGCTAGACTCTCCCAGGTATCTCTGGACTTCCCTCTGGAAACATTCTCTGACAGATGCTCCCACAGAGGCTGGCAGTGGTACCTGGGACCTCCACCCACTGTTCCAGGCTTTCCAACAGGCCAGGCACTACACATGTGCACAAAATTAAAAGCAGCTAAAATCAGGGGAAATGTATAGGCCTTGGAGTTAGACAATCTAGGTTAAATTTCTGCTTTACCAGTCAACTGTTAAACTCTGGCAACATTGTTTTTCCCTTGGGACATCAGTTTTCTCACATATAGCATAGAGAAGATTCACAGAATTGCCATCATGCAACCTTGTTCTTGGGCTAGGGATACATGATGCAGTGCCTGGACTTTTGCAGGTGATCAATGATTTCTGCTATTATCATAAAAACAATCAAATCAGTGTTGGGAGTGACCTCGTTGTTCTGTTCGGTCAGAAGAGGTGGAGCTGAGAGCCAGGTCTGTCTCCCTGATTGCTTTTCCGTGGGTCTCTGAGAAGGCAGGAGCTGAGAGAGTTCTGGGGAAGAGTGTGAGGAGGGGCTGATCATGAGGGCTGAGCTGGCCCTGAGGGAGTCTTGGAGGCCGTGGGGGAAGGAATGAAGAGGATTTAAGGCCTCAAAGTGGACTGCCGCTCTTTGTAGCTGGGGGCTCCTGCTCCCTCATCCTCAAGAAAAGGCCAAGATGTCCTTCACAGTCTCCAAGAAACATTCCTGGGACTTGCTAAAATAGTGTGACTTTTTCAGAGAATTATCTTAAGCACAGGATTATTCCTTAGTAGCAAGAGCAGTGTGGGTGGGCTCTCTAAGAGAAAAGGAAAGAAAAGAAAAAATTCCTTTGTTTATTTTCCCTTGATTATGCCTTATTTTCAAACTAGAGTGATTTAGTTCCAATTTCCTCCAGATCTCTCAAGTCCTACCTCTGAGTATGTGCCAGTGGATCTAATTACCAATAGCTGCTCAGGCTGGAAGTCATTGGGTCCTTCTGCCTGCCTCCTGGGAGGACTGTGGGAGATGGGATGCTTCAGAGATGGGCAGTGGGAAGGGTGACACTTGGGCCCTCTGGCTGGCTCTCTTACTTATTCCTTTATTTCTCTCCTGCTGCAGTCTTCTGAGGTGTAGCCGCATATTTTACCTCCAGCGATAGCTCCTGTTTCTTACTGCCAAGGCACCTCCCTTCCAGCACGTGTGTGTGTGTTGTATGAGTGTGTGCTTATGGTGGAGTGCAATGAAGGAGACGAATAGGAGGGAAATAAAATGTTTTTAGAAACTTCATACCTCTTTAGAGATCTTCTTTCCCATTTTTATGGAAATGTTCAGAAACAGTGTTTTGCACACTGAGATACAATTTTTGCAATGTCTTTTGACATGCCTTATATGATTTTGCAGCAGCACTATGATTTCTTATTATTGCCCTCTGCATTTATTTATTGCTGAGACTTGCATTCCTAGCCCCAGGACGCTGCTCATCACATCATTTTACCCTCAGAATATGGCAATCCACGATTCCTTCCCAACACATTGCCTAAGGCAGCACATTTTAATTCTAGTCATTCATTGTACTGCACTACCACGTCTGTTCATTGGAAATTTCTGGATGACATGGGTATCATCTGGCTCTCTGGAAAACCAGAGCCTTCTTGCTAATGTCTCCAGGTAAGGCATCCTAGGTCCCCTCCTCTCTTGGGCATAAATATCCTCTTTACATTTATATAGAGCCAAGACTTGCACCTGCTTTGTTCTCTATGCAGCTTCTCATGCCCTCTGACTCCCTGGGTAAGAAAGACTTTTCTGTTTGACCTAAAAATTCTTGTTCTGAAGTGAATACCACCCCACCCGAACCTTCCAAACATTTTTTTATTCTTCTCAAGAGTCTCTAAAATTTAGACAACTAGAAATCCTTCCTACACTCTTGAACTTATTGTTCTCATTAGATGCCTATTGAGGGATTCTTCTTTTTAGAAAACTCATTTTACTTTTTAAACAACCACTAACTAAACACTAATAAATATGGTAGGGTTTCTACCATTAAAAAAATCATAATTCAGGGGAAAACTATAAATATGCAATAATTATAGTTCAGGAGGATAAATTTATAAAATGAAACCTAAACGAAGTTCTTTGGGAGCATAGAGCAGGAAATATTTCATTATACCCAAGGAAAAGAGAATTAGGAAAATAGCATAGGAGAGAGACAGTAAACCAGGATGTGAATGGTGAGTAAGATTTTGCTCTGTGGAAAGACAGGAGAGGGTAAGAGACACTCAGAGAAACACTGATGTGAGAGAGACATATTGATTGGTTGCCTCCTGCACATATCGTGATTAAGGTATGTGCCCTTGATCGGAATTGAACCCGGAACCCTTCTGAGGGCTGACCTATCCACTGAGCCAAACTGACTAGGGCTCAAAGGAATTTAAAAAACCACACAACACAAAACAATGTCTCGTGACCTGATTTCTTTTGGTTAGAAGTCTATTGGGATTATGCCAATGAAAAAGATTACCTGAGAGTCATGGCAGTCAGAAATGGAATATCTAGTATGTGTGACTATTTCAGTCACCCAAACAGAAAAGAGGAAAAACTAGAGAGAAAAAACAATTAACAATACAGACAAGATTTTTTGCACATTAACTATGTGCCCAGCATTGTGCTAAATGTTTCATCATCTCATTTGTTCCTCACATTGACATTTTAGTCAGTGACTGTTATCCTCATTTTAAAGAGGCTTAGAAAGGTTAATTGGCTTGCCCCAGATTGCACACTTAAGGAAGTCTTTGACTAGGATTTGAATTCAGGATTGATTTCATACCTCCTATTCTTTTAAAAAAAAATATATATATTATTGATTTTTTTTACAGAGAGGAAGGGAGAGTGATAGTGAGCTACACACATCGATGAGAGAGAAACATCAATTAGCTGCCTCCTGCACACTCCCCAATGGGGATGTGTCCGCAACCAAGGTACATGTCCTTGACCAGAATTGAACCTGGGACCTTTGAGTCCTCAGGCAGATGCTCTATTCACTGAGCCAAACCAGTCAGGGCCATACCTCATATTCTTAAGAACTGTACAACCATGCATCTGTAAGAGTTTGTTTTTGAACAGGGAGAGTTTGATGTTCTTGAGTGACAGACAGGTAGATCCTTTAGTAAGACAAAGATAATTCAGAGCTTGCTATATAGATTTTGGAGTCAATAGTTTATATGTGACAAATGGAAAGGAATGAGATGGCTCCAGAAGGGGGATATAGAACAAGAACACTGAGGATAAAATTCTCAGAGCATTATCATTTAAGAGCATGCTTAATGATCAAGCAGAGAAGACTGAAGATCCAGAAAGGAGACCAAGAACTAGTGATCAGAGAGAGTTGAGGAGCAGAGGGAGAAGGGAGGAGTTATAAGAAGGAGGGATTTACTTCCAGTGTCATGCTACAGAAAGGTCAGGACAGAAGACTTAAGTGACTTTGCCTCATTACCTAAAAATCTAGGTTAAATATGGCTCCTTATACCTTCTCCCCCCAGCAGTTTGAATTAAGCTGTTATTTTCTGTTATAAAACTTGTGCTCCTAGTGTATCCCTGAGTGACAGTTTAATGGTAGAACAAAGATTATTGACACATCCTGAACCCAGTGTTAGATGCAAGTCCCTCCTGATGGGCTCTTCTTCACACTCAACTCTTCTCTGGTTACCCATGCAGAGAGGTCCTACCCTGTTGTCAAGAGCCAGATCTTGTAAATCTACCCTGGATATTTTCTTCCTAAGATAAAACTACCTGAAATATACCCTAACAATAAATGTCACTATTTCCATAGCTAGCTTCCAAATTATAGCTGAATGTGTGAGTGTGTGTGTGTGTGTTGTAAATTCATACAATTTACATAATCTCATAAAAAGTAGGAGCATGTGAATATTCATGGATGGTAGAAAAGAAAGGAGGAAGTTAGTTAACTCTAATTGTTTTAATTAAGAGAGATGATCTGAGCTAAGTCATGTCTGACATTTTCACGTCAGCAATCTCTATTTACATCTCTCACTTTTGTAGCCAAGGGTGGGATTGGTAATCATGGCTGGGTGAATTATCTGAACCTTGGCTTTTGAAGGAGATTAGGTTGAGTTTAGAATAGGCTCAGAGGGTAGATAGACAATGATGTTAGCATTAGGGTCAGAGAACAGGGCATCAGCATGGAGGGAAGAGGTGTGGTGTTGTGATTCAGGAGGATCTGATAATTGTTTATCTTTTCTTTCCAGCCTCCCCAGGTCTGGCATTGATTGCAACTCAACTTCTTCACTATGGTGGGCCCTAATGGCAATGAATCCAGTGCCACATATTTCGTTCTAATAGGCCTCCCTGGCTTGGAAGAAGCTCAGTTTTGGTTGGCTTTCCCTTTATGCTCCCTTTACCTTATTGCTGTGCTAGGTAACTTGACAATCATTTACATTGTGTGGACTGAGCACAGCCTACATGAACCCATGTATATTTTTCTTTGCATGCTTTCTGGCCTTGACATCCTTATCTCTACTTCATCCATGCCCAAAATGATGGCCATCTTCTGGTTCAATTCTACTACCATCCAGTTTGATGCTTGTCTGCTACAGATGTTTGCCATCCATTCCTTATCTGGCATGGAGTCCACGGTACTGCTGGCAATGGCCTTTGACCGCTATGTGGCGATATGCCACCCACTACGCCATGCCACTGTGTTAACATTGCCTCGTGTTACCAAGATTGGAATGGCTGCTGTAATACGAGGTGCTGCACTTATGGCCCCTCTGCCTGTCTTCATCAAACAGCTGCCTTTCTGCCGCTCCAATATCCTTTCCCACTCTTACTGCCTACATCAAGATGTCATGAAGCTGGCCTGTGCTGACATCCATGTAAATGTCATCTATGGCCTCATCGTTATCATCTCTGCCATTGGCCTGGACTCAGTTCTCATCTCCTTATCATATCTGCTTATCCTCAAGACTGTGTTGGGCTTGACACGTGAAGCCCAGACAAAGGCATTTGGCACTTGTGTCTCTCATGTGTGTGCTGTTTTCATATTCTACGTACCGTTCATTGGATTATCTATGGTGCACCGCTTTGGCAAGCGGCAGGACTCCCTCCTGCCCATCATCATGGCCAACACCTACCTCCTTGTCCCTCCTGTGCTCAACCCCATTGTCTATGGAGTGAAGACAAAGGAAATCCGGCAGCGCATCCTTCGTCTTTTCCATGTGACAACCCTCCCTTCAGATCCTTAGGTGTCAATGATAAAACTTATTTTTCATTCAAAGTTCATTAATTCAGGTTTTAATATCAATATTTTGGGAGACAGTATTAGAAGAAACACATTTTCCCTTAATAAAAACACAACTGGTCCTTCAAAGATGAAACTGGTGGCAACATCTCCTGTGGATAGGGGCAGCAGAACAGTATACTCCCAATTCCCATTTTTTCATATTATTTCTCCCTCTAGTTATTTTCTATATATAATTATTAAATTCCTGAGGTGGTTGTAGTTGTAGAATTATTATTTCCCATTTAACCATCCAAGTCCAGTTCTCTAAACTGCTTGTACTAGCCCACAGCATTCTGAGATAAGGTTGCTATATCTGAAGCATGTTTACCAAAGGCTTAAGCATGCCAAAGGTGAGGTAAACTTACGAATACAATACAATCAGATACCTTGGCTTAAAAGTATGATTTTTTTTTTCTCCCCAGAAACCATATTTGATCTCAGAAAAGAAGCTATACCTGGATTTTCTTCTTCAAAATGATCTCCAGAAGAAATAGATCATTTACTTTCTTTTGGGGCACCAGCCCTTAGGAGGGAGGTTGGAAGTAAAACCTTACAAAAATGACTGCTACCTGCATTAATGAAAGGTGACACACTGTTCTGAGAGTTTTTACAGCCCATGGATACTTCCTTTCAATCTGAATAGAAATATAATTAGTACCTCCATTGTAATAATGGGGAAGTTGATGTTCAATGGGGCACGAGGTCACACAAAAAAGTTGTCTTTTGATGCCTAATCCTATATTGTGAGCAGAAATTGTTAGACCATTGGGATAGTAAATTAGACATTTCCATAGTCTTACATTTTCTAGGGGCGGTATTTAATTTCCTTTCTCACTCATCCAGTATTGTATGTAGACATTTCCCATTAAGATTATTGGTGGCTTTAATCCCAATAGTTTCTGGTCCATTTACCAATGAACCTGTGAAGTAGAAGCAGGTGTGTATTTGGGTAATTCCTAACCAGTGGCTAATTTGGGAAATAGCATGATTGGCAGTGGAAGCACTCAGTGGGTATCTGGAGAGGCACTTTATAAAGAGATGTATCAGAAAACACCTTGAAGCTCATGGGAGAAGTGGCAGGTCTACCACAGACCAGGCAATCATGAGCAGGACACATCATGAGACTGAGGAAGCGCATGGGGCTAGCCATGAAGCAAGGCTAAGGCAAGTATAGGTCCATAGAAACAGAGTAGAGCATATAGGTGGACAACTGCATCCCCAGGGCTCTGAGCTGCCTTACAGGGGAAGCCCACAACATCAATGTTTGGAGAACAAATCTACAGGAGAGACCAATAAAGCCTGCTTTCCTGCCAGCTATAATAACAGCATAAATGTGATCCCAGGACCCCCACAAGCTAGGTAGCATAGCACTTCCCGAAGGAAGCTGAATGGGAAAGAGGGGTTATGGGCTCCACAGAGTGCAATAGGAACAAATAGGGCAGAAGCAAGACCACTACCCACAGGGGGAGTGCTAGTCAGACCCAAAGAGAGGTAGCTAAATGTGAGAAGCAGGTAGTATAGTGGAGAACATTGGCACAGGGCCAGCCAGACTTTTCTGGCCATAGCACAAGATTACTTAGTAGAGAGGATATGGAGTGAGCATATCTGATTTCTTGGACTGGAATCCAGGAGGCGAGAGTTGTGAATAGTATGGAATTTAATATACTTAGATGAATGGTGGCCAGCAGCACTAAGAGCATAAACTTGAGTCATTGCAGGCTTCATTTGGAGGGAAGACACTGGGACTGAGAGAAAGAGACAGAATGAAAGACAGAGATCGGCATATCATTTTTTTCTTATTAGGAAATCAACACATGATTACTATAAATATAAATTTTAGACATTGTGAAAATATTTAAAAAGTAACAATATAATAAAAACTTCAATAAATTTGTCACCTTAAAAGAAAATAATTATTAGCATTTTGGTGTTTATTTTTTCAGATTTTTATTAAGTGCTTGTATTCATGCTTCTGTAGGGGCATAAGCTAAATGTGTATGTCTGTTTTATATTTGAAGTGCTATTGGAGACATAGATAGATGAATAATAAAAAGATAAATATAGAGCCAAAACTGGTTTGGCTCAGTGGTAGAGCGTCGGTCTGTGGACTGAAAGGTCTCAGGCTCGATTCCGGTCAAGGGCATGTACATTGGTTGCGGGCACATCCCCGGTAGGGGTGTGCAGGAGGCAGCTGGTCGATGTTTCTCTCTCATCGACGTTTCTAGCTCTCTATCCCTCTCTTCTCCTCTGTAAAAAATCAATAAAATATATTAAAAAAAAAGATAAATATAGAGATGTCAATTTCATTATTTCAGATTTTAGAAGGGATTCCAAGTCTATGGTACTTAATATACTCTGGATAACATTTCATAGATTTTATCCTATACGACTTAAACATTTTGTGAGTGTAAACACACACACACACACACACACACACACACACACGCCCACACATTGGGTCACCTGGAAGAGCCTGGAGTTAAGAACTAGAATGAGAGAAAGAGGCTGCTTCTTTTTAGGAAATTTGGCTGGAAGTTAGATTAGGTTAGGTTCTGGACTAAGACCTTCATCATATGCCTTTTACATGAGCATCCTTTTACCTTCCCCATTTCTTTTGTTTGTATATTCCTGTCTCTGACCCTACCATCTCAGCCATGGACCTTTTTGAATCCTGAAGAAGTCTGAATGTTAAATCTGTCTATAAGTCACTTAAAAAAAAAAGGTTTTATCTGTTTATAAAACAGTTTATGAACTGTTTTACAAACATGTCTTGTATTCTCTATTCACCAAACCTAATTTCTCTCCATTCTAGACACACAGCTAAGCATTTCTCAGCTTCTTTTGAGATGGGTATGATTAAATGCTAACCATTACTTTCAATGTGAGTGGAAATGACATGTGACACTTCTCTGCCAGGCTCAAAAATATTTGCATGTCCAGTCTTCCACATTTATATCAAATGTGACTTGGGAAGCCATTAGTTTCACATGGTAAACCATAAGCAGCCCGGATTCCTAGAAATTATATAGAGACAGATCCTTCATACCTGCCACCCTCCATCAACCCATATTTATACTAGGCAGTTGAATAAATAAAAAATAAAGTACTAATGTGTCAAGACTTTGTACATGTTTTTATTGTCCTTTAGTAGGAAAGGACATGTTTTTATTGTCCTTTAGTCTTGTAACAATACTAAATAAATAGTTATTGAATTAAGTGAAAGAAATAAAACCTGAAAAGTAAGGAGCCGAGGTAAGACTGCTTTTTATCCTTTTAGAGAAAATACTGAATGTATAATATTTATCAAAGAGGCAGATATTTATTTACATTAATATAATTATCAAAAGTCTTAATCAAGCTGGGTCTCATATAGATTATTTATTTTAAAAATATATTTTATTGATTTTTTTTACAGAGAGGAAGGAAGAGGGATAGAGAGCTAGAAACATCGATCAGCTGCCTCTTGCACATCTCTTACTGGGGATGTGCCTGCAACCAAGGTACATGCCCTTGACTGGAATCTAACCTGGGACCTTTCAGTCCGCAGGCTGATGCTCTATCCACTGAGCCAAACCACTTAGGACTCATATAGATTTAAAAAAAAAAATTTACTCTGGGTCAATACCTTCTCATCTTCTCAGGAAACTTATGTTATTGTTCCTTCTCCTTATTAGATATTCAACCTCACTATTTCAGTCATGGTTAACATTTATTATGTTCCATTCTCTTCCATAGTGAAAATGACAATGTGAAGTATAATCCTGCCAAGATACTATATTCTTCTTTTATCTCTTCCCTTTCATAAAATCTCTTAGAGAAGTTAACTGTAACTAATTTTTACTTATGCATCCCTCATCTAGCTCTTCAGTGCTCCAATATAACCATAGCCTTGGTGGAATTGCCAAAAGAACTTTTACTATTATCATCAAGGTTTTTAGTTCTTATCCTATCTGACTTCTCAACAACATTCAACACACTTGACCATTTCCTCTTTCTTGATACAGTTTCCCCTTTAGCTTCCATTGCTTCACACTCTTGGCTTTCCTCTTATCTCTCTTGCTACTTCTCTGTTTCCTTTGCACCTACAATAGTCTTCTTCCCCTGATGAGACAACATAAGAGAACCAGACTTTCAATTGTTATGCAATCACATTTGTGTTGATGGTGTCTATAGTAGGTGCTGTGGCAAACACTGACTACTCTCCATGACTTAAATTTATCTCTAGACTAGACCATTCAGCTAGTCTAGTGCCCCTTTCCCTATTCAAATTTATTTGCACATTCAAAAGAATTATTGCACTGCTATTATTTCATGAACACCACTAGACACTGAGTATATGTTGGCACCTTTGTAGTTATGGCATAGTAGGGTGGCAGAATATTTCACATGTGCAGGAGACAAATAAATTCCAGTGGGTAATATGAAAAAGAAAATTAATTAGACAAGATTTTCTGAGAAATTAGACTTATACTTGACAAATGAGGAAGGTAGCTAGAAATGTGATGTAGAGTGGGGTGATAAGAATGTTGCACGCAGAGTAAGTGCGTGCAAAAAGACCTGAGACCAGATAAAAAAGACCTGAGACTAGATAAAACTGATTGTGTTTTAGGTTGTAATTTGCAATTCACACTCCTAAGTTATTTTATAGTAAAAATATTTAATAAATAATTTGTATGTATTAGATACAAACCAAATTACTTAGTATAGTATGTACATTCCTTTATAATCTACCTTTTTGACTTCATCCCATCTTTAAACTCTATGCTGCAGGCAAATTGGTTAAGATATAAAAAGTGGTAGAGATGTAAAAAAGTGCAGATATGCTCATCTTTCTACAAACACATGTACTGTTTCAAAATATTGAGCCTGTTTTTTTATATTGCTCATTTCCATCTTAGGTTTTTCTCTTTTAAATTCCATTCCTATGTTGCCTAGGAAAAAACACACACCATCCTACATTTT